ACACGTGCACGAGCACACACACGCACACATTCGCACACAGGTCCACATGCACACTGACACACGTGCACACATCATGACCAGCCCCACACGGGACCTGGCACACGGCAGGCTTTCTTATCCAATTAGTTAACCGGTGGTGGTTTTAAACTACAGCCCCGTGTCCCCTCAGTCGCTCAGTGCCGTCTGCGGGTAACTCAGGTGAAGGCCATGCACGACAGAAAGAGCGTTCATTACAGGAACCGTCTCGTGCCATGTATTGCCGTGGGCTCCCTTTTGCCAGGACAACACCAGCTGTAAAAATGCAAACTCAAGACCGGAAAATGCCACCCCTTTAGTCTCTGGGTAATTCAGACCCTCGCGCTGTCCGCGGGCCTGGAGATAATGCAGTCATTCCTGGCACACGTGACGTCCTTAAAGGTTTGTTCTGGGTTTTTACGTTTCCAGGGGACTCATTCCCACCTGCTATCGCCGGAGGAACTGCCTGCACTGCTTTGCAAAGATATGGCCACGAATCACAAGGACAAAGACGGGGAAAGTAGCTGAGGGTCCAAAGCCGTGAAAATTCCTGCTCCAAACCTTTTCATGAGTCACACCGATTCGAACGCACCCTCTTCCCCTCTCCTCCCAGCCCCAATTCCATTCGCTGCAACCTTAGGCTGCAACCTCCTTCAGCCTGAGCCGAGTGAGAACGTCTGCACCACGTTCCTCTCCCAACAATTCTTTTCTGCCTGACTCCACATTCCCCACAGAGCGGAGGGGAGAGGGCGTGGGGTTCGCCGGTCAACATGCGGGGACAAACGCGGGCGCGTGGGACAGACGAGGCCGTACCTTCCAGGGCCGAGAGCTGCTGCTCGGCCTCCAGGTAGAGCTGCGAGAAGACGGGCCGGGGCACCAGGCTGCTGGAGCGCAGCGAGGCCTCGATGGAGTTGTGCAGCACCTCCTCGAACCGCGTGCTCTTCAGCTGCCCCGCATACGAGTTCCCCATCTTCCCGGGAGACGCTGGCGGCTTCTGTTCAAAACGGCATTGCAGTTTCGGTTAGAAACACTGACCGGGCCCACCAAGCCCAAAAGCACAAGGCAACCTCCCCCCACAACCCCCACCCCACCCCACCCCCTGCTCAGCAAAGAGGAGGAGCAGGTGGGTCTGGGGCCTCAGCCACAGCCAGCCCCGGGGGCAATTACAGGAAGTTATATAAGTCACAGCTCTGGCTAATTTAGCTCGGGGGCAGGCAGCCTCTGACACCTCTTAGAGGATTTGCCTGGAAATGGGGTCCCAGTCCTCCGGGGGTTCCCAGACCCCAGCTTTTCCCTGAGCTGTGACCCTGCCCCTGAGAGACCCCAGATCACTGAGGCTTTATGTTCCTGGCCTCGCAGAGGAAAGGCCCCGTGCCACTCCGTGTGATGGCGGTGAGGCGGTGATCATCGGTGACCACCGGCCCCCAGGAGGGGGATGACTCAGCCCCCCCTGGCTGCCCAGGAGGCGGCCACAGACTTCCTAGCATTGTCTTGGCCGCTAACAGGCCGATTATTCACGTTCCTCCTTTAAAATGGTTTTGGGTGTTTGGCTTATGGTTTATTACACAAGTGACGCAGGATTCTATCTGGAAATCTGGAAATCACAAAGGAGGGTGGACAGCAAGGAAAGTCACAGATATTTTCATTTCCCGAGATAAGCACTGTGATTTGTTTTTTTATTTTGGGTAGCAGCTTAGTTCAGATATAATTCACATATCATGCCATTCACCCTCTGCATGGGCACAAGTCATAGGTACATGGTGTGTTCTCAGTGCAACCATCACATCATCAATTCTATTTATTTATTCATTCATTCATTCATTCCTCACCCGAGAGTATTTTTCCATTGATTTTTAGGGAGAGTGGAAGAGAGAAGGAAAAGACAGAAACCTCGATGTGAGAGACACACATCGATTGGTTGCCTCCTGCAGCTTGAGCCCCGACCAGGGCCCGGGCCGGGGAGGAGACTGCAACCAAGGTACGTGCCCTTGACCGGAATCGAACTGGGACCCTTTGGTCCGCAGACCCGATGCTCTATCCACTGAGCTGAACCGGCCAGGGCCGCATCATCAATTTTAGGACATTTCATCGCTCCGAAAAGAAACCTCGTACCCTTTACCTGTCACTCCCAAACTCCCCGTCCCCCAGCCCTCCAGCCCTAGGCGACTATTAGTTTACCGTCTGTCTCTGTAGATTTGCCTGCTCTGGAAATCTCATATTAATGGGATGACACAGTGCTCGGCCTTCTGGGACGGGCTTCTCTCGGTCGATGTATTCGAGGCCCCCCTGCCTTGTAGCAAGCGCCAGTATGTCATTCCTATCGTGATGTGTTCTCCCCAGACTGAATTCCCTTCAGAACTTGGGGATGGGAGGGAGGTGGGCCATGATCGTTCTACACCACAAGGCTTGATGCTTTTTTAATTTGACGCAAGCATCTCACCCAATCCTCTTACAAACTGCTTGCAAACAGCATGAATGGCTGCATCAGATTCCATTGCGTGAAGGGGCAGGCATCTGCTCCCACATTTCTCGGGGAGCGTGCATACGGTTAAGTCTCCAACGGTCGGTCCTTGCCAAGAACCGCCACTGAAACCTATGTTCCTCCCTAACGTTTCCCAGGTGGGGAAATCCCGTGTCGTGAAATCTAGCTGTTGGTTCACCTGACCCTCTCTCCAATTCCTTCTGGTTGAATTGCCTGTACTTTTTGCAAACTTCTTAAAATAATGACTTTATCACCGTCTTTGTTTTCCATCTTCCTTCTTTAATAATGAAGCCGTTTACAGCTATTCATCTCCCCTGGGTAACGCGTTTTGCTAGGGCACGGAGGTTTAGTGCGGAGCCTCCTTTTCCTTTCTTCTCAGACACTTTATGATCTCCGTTCCGATTCCCTCTTTGATCTGATCATGATCCAGAGCATATACTTAATTTCTAAACAGTCAAGACTTGGGGAGGAGGGGGGTCAGCCTTGTATTATTCCTCTCTAATTTGTATTGGGTTATAATCACAATTGTAGTCTTAGGAATTCTTTAAATTTGTCAAGGGTTTCTTTCAGGAGGACACGCGATGGATTTTTACAAATATACTACCAATATGAGAGAAGAGCCCGGCGGGCGTGGCTCAGTGGTTAAGCATCGTCCCGTGCACCAAGAGACCCCTGTTCGATTCCACTCAGGGCACAAGCCAGGGCTGCGGGCTCCATCCCCAGCAGAAGGCATGGAGGTGGCAGCCAGCCCATGACTCTCTCTCATCACTGATGCTTCTCTCTCTCTCTCCCTCTCCCTTCCTCTGTGAAATCACTGAAAAATATATTTCAAAAAATAAATAAATATATAGAAAAATAGAAAAGAGATGTATAAACCCTCTCCAGGGGATGAAAGGAGCTAAATTATTCAAATCTCCTATGGGAAATAGACAGCCTTGTCTATTTCTTGTCTACTTGACTGCTGACTTTCAAGTAGCATCTGACTTGAACAGCAGCCCAGGAGGCCAGCTCCGCTGCGACCACGAGAGAGAAGCTTCCAGTTCATTGACAGCGACCCAGACGCCGCAGCGCAGGCTGTGAGCTCAAGAGCCAGGCGCTCCCGTGCACATCACTTAGACTCAAGACGCAGGGAAGGATTCCCCGTCCTGTCCTGGTTCGGCCGGGGACAGAGCAATTTCAGGACGGGGCGGCTGGTGCCCTCCCGGAGCGCTGCGTCCCTCCCGGAGGGGGAGGGCTGGCCTCCCTCCCAGGATTCTCTGCCTCTATTGGACCCGAGGCCTTTCCTCTTCCAACTGAGGCCAATGGAAACCAGGAGACACTTCCCGCCGGCGCAGTAATTCCCGAGCTCGGCCCCCAGTCAGCCCCCGCGTGCAGCCTGGGGGACCGCGCTGTGGGGGGATCGCTCCAGGAATGAGCCCCAACAGAAAGGAGGTGCTCCCGAGAGAGGCCAGCTGCCCAGCACCTCACAGCCAGCAGAGGGGCTGTTGCTTTTCATCTTAAATCATAGAATAGCATAGAATAGAACAGAATAGAATGAAATAGAATAGAATAGAATAGAATAGAATAGAATAGAATAGAATAGAATAGAATAGAATAGAATGTCTTTTTAGAAGTGCATATTTACATTTATTAAAAACTAAAGGTTTCAGTTTAAAATCAATGAAATGCAGCCCTAACCGGTTTGGCTCAGTAGATAGAGCATCGGCCTGCGGACTGAAAGGTCCCAGGTTCGATTCCGGTTAAGGGCATGGACCTTAGTTGTGGGCACATCCTCAGTAGGAGGTGTGCAGGAGGCAGCT